CTTGTATAGATCCCTTTGTTTCTCAGGGAGCTTGCTTAGCATTGTGCAGTCCAGGGTGTTAGCAAGAAAGTGTCCTTGTTACTGATGTGAACCAGAACCAAGGAACGAGCAGTGTTCGAGCTCCTGAGCCATGGTCATAGCAGAGGGGATAAGTCCATCCAACCAGCCCAGTTACTCATGACTGTGCTGTAGGGCTGAGCATCACTTCTAGCAGTTTTCACCAATTGCAGCTCCCTTGCAATATTCTCTTTGTAAACGTGTTTAGAAGAAGCCGAAAATAGTTTAATCCTGCCTTTTACATTCAGGCTGAGGCTTTTCCTCCTAGAATTAAAATACTGTGCTGACATGGTACTATTGAACACACACAATTAAAAGTAATTTTCAGTTTATCTCTGACATCTGTTTTAAACCTAATAAGAGGCTCTTGGCTGTAAGGTTTTTATAGTAGGTGGGGAGATAACGGCTTTGTCTGAACACATGCAAAGGAGCACAGAGGCACAAGGGCAGGCAGGGCAAACCCCAAAATCCAGTTGGAGAAAGAGAGCTCCTTGAGGGCTGCCATGGGGGAGCTGCCAGCGTGTGAGTCAATGGGAGAGGCTCCCGTCCATCACCTTACAGACTGAGGGGCCTTGCTGCTTGTGAGACTCATTACAGGATGCCCAAGAGGAGTGTTTATGGATTGTACAAGATTTATTTATGGGATATTTAGGAAAGGAACCAAAAGCGCACCTGATCAGCCCAGCCTGCCTCATCTTCTCATTAAACCCTATTTCTTACTATTTTCTGGGGTAAAAGAACTCTGTGGGTGTGTGTATGAGGGCTACCAGATGCTGCAACTGCTACCATAGAATAAAAATTCTAATGCAACAGCTGGTGTAGTGAAAGAAAATGTCCTCATTTTTCTTTGTGAATGTTTTTTAGAAGAAGGTGTCTTTCTCTGATGCTGTTATTTTGGTCATGAGCCTGGTAAGTTCTTCCTCTGCCACCTCTGAGTGCAATGCCCAAAGCAACCAGCTGTGCATTGGAATTACTTGAAGTAATGTCATGTATCAACAGAACCCGAAATAGAAATAACTTTGATTGGAGCACAGAAAGAAAAGGAAAAAGTGTTTAAAAAGAAAAGGAATAGTGATTTACAAAGCATTTTATCATCCCAAAATGGAGGCTGCCTCCTGGATTAATCATCATCTGCATGTTATGCAGTTTATAGCTGCTTAACAACAATTACACATAAACTTTATATTCGCTCCTGAGCACTGTAGCAAGGTTTCCTTTCCTGAGGTGCTTTTATAAAGCATAAGACAGAATAGGGTTCATGGGTATGAAGGATATATGGGTATGAAGGATATATGAAGAAACTACTGCAGGAAGAAGGTTGTGAGACTGTGAAGCTAGTGAAACTGGTGTCTCTCTGTCCTGAAGAGCTGGGCTACCTCCCTGACATCTTAGCCTTAATGACAGTATCTTAGCTGAATTTCAGATGCAAAACTGTGGACATTACCCCATTTCCTCTGTCCTTCATTCCTTCCCCAATGGGGTGTGGGTACATGCAGGACCCCTTAGATTTCACTAAAAACATTGCAAGAACTGGTTCGTCCACCAATGTCTTCTCTGAATTATGAACAAATACACTTGCTTTCTTCATTTTTGACCCACTAGAGTAGAATGATGTGTCTTCCTTTAGGGCAGTATCTTCTTAAAATGTGCACAAGCAGGTTTTTTTAAGCAGATCTTTAAATTCAGGTGGAAAAAAGATCTTCAAAATCGGTGACTGCCCTACATCTTCACTGAGGATCACTTTGCTGGTTGACTTGCACCTTGCTATTGATCTGCTGTTAGGTATCTTCAGACTGCAGAAGCAAGAAGCTTCAGAAGAAGTTCAGAGGGAAATGGAGACAGTAACGATGCTCTAGGCAAGGATACAGTTTCAAAACTTCCTGATTAAATGTAGCCTAAGGGAATTTTGTCCCTGCTCACAAATGATCTACCTTCATCTGCTGCGGTAACTTCTTTTTTTGCAGATTTCCTTGTATCACATTTGGCAGGGATGTACTGACCCTGTCCGTACTGAAAGATGCCATTGATAAATCAGCAGAGACTCACAGAAACATAGAATGGTTTGGGTTGGAAGGGACTTTGAAGATTATCTAGTTCCAAGAACATGCAGAACCTTTTTGTTCAAGTGTGCAGTGTGCATCCCACAGCTTTACTGCAAGTAACACTAGCAGGACATGCTTCTTTCAGCAGTTGTAGAAAACTGATTGAAGCTGGTCCTCTCCACATGCCTGCCTTGCCAGGGAATTAAAGCTTCAGACTGCCATTTCTGTGGAGTTTTTAAATATGTATGACCGAAACAAGGGGCCTGTTGAGAAAGGCTCTAATCCTCTTGCATATGAAACCTGGTATTCTGGTCTTCTCTCTTTCTGATGTTTCTGTGCTTTCAGATATGCTAAATCTACCTTTGAAGTTTCATTTCTTCTTGTGTAAAATACACTTCAATAGGTGAACCTTGCAGCTGGGGATTGGGAGATACTGATTCAAGTTGGCCACACCAAGCGGTTCACGTAATCATCCTTTGCCTTGGTTTCTGCATTTTGTAATACAGAAAGGTCCACCCTCCTGTACATGGCTATTTGAGCTTTGTTCTGGGCTTCTAACAGAAGCCACAATGTAGTGTGGGCTTTCTGCAGTCTGGCGTGAAGTCCTGCTGGAAGGTATTTGTCTGAGGATGCTACAGATCCATAGGTAAGGAGTAGAGGCTTCTCTATTTCTGGTGAAGAGATGCTGAAGAGATCAGACCAACTGTGTGTGTGTGCAGGGAGTCCTGCCCGGTCCTGCCAGTGCCACTTGCACAGTCAGAAAATCTGTGTCTTAAGCAAATGTGATGATTTATTGCCTGTGGTCTACATGTCAGTGGTCCTTATGATTAATGCCTTGGTTCTTCCAAGAACATTTGCAATGGCAGACTGACTGTTGAGCTGCAAAGACAAATGACTGCATGGTGGGTGAGAAACTCACATGGCCAAAACCTCTTTTCATAGAAGACATTTTTCATACAAGGATCTCAGGAAGGCTAAACCTTTCTGGCCTCCCTCTTGAGATAAAGTGTGTAGGGTTTACGTGCACTAGGACCTGGGAAGTTATGGAGGAAGACCACCAAGAGATGGATATCTCTTAGAGGTATATACAGTGGCCCTTCCCCTGGCTGGGCCAGGAACTAGGGGATGTCTGTCCTGTAGGATAACTGTAATTCCTTCTGAAGTATTTGGAGTAGGGGGAGGAAAAATACGAGCTTTGTGCTAAGGTGCAGCAGGCTGGCTATCATTTCCTTCTTTAAGGGCTGGGTTTCTAAGACACATTCAGTTCTGGAGGGAGATCTGAAAGGTTTTACTTGTGCGGAATACAGTGATTCTCTGCTTCGATAGAATGTGATCCTGTAGCTAGACAAAAGCTGGAGTATTGAGTTTGCTCTGATAGACCTCCTAGGAGCCATACACAGCTCTTTAAAAACCCAAGCAACCTGCCACAAACCTGCCTAAGAGAGATTGCTATAAGACAGCAGAGTTATAAAATACTCCAAAAGGCTGAATAGGGTTTTTCCCCCTCTTGTGATATTTGCAGTTGAACTTTAGATACATCAATTTGAACATGGCCTTTTAAAGTAACTTTCTGTTCTGTCCCTGTCATTTTCAGAGCTGTAAAGGAAAGCCAAAATGCCAAGGAAGGGGAGCAAGTGAAAAGAGGGAGCAGGGCAAAAGAGTAGGTGTTGATCATCTTTGCAAAAAGTGACATCATCTATGAGAACAAAAGTCTTCAGTTGCTGCAACTGGAGACAGCTTTTAGTCTCCAATTCTATTTTGCCCTGAGCCAGCCAGGCAAATAAAAACAGCAGCATAAATCACTGCTGGCAGAACTTCACAGTTATGCAACATCCAGTGCACCAGGCGCCTATTTTTAGGTCAGTTTTACACTGGCAGAATTTACTTTATGAAATCTAAAAAGAATGTCTGGTCAGGGGCCGGGGGATGAAGAGGGTATTTAGAAAATGTAAAATGTAAAAACAGCTCGTACAGAGATGCACAAAGTGTGAAAATACTTAGTACAAAGATAGCAAACCTCACTTTGGCAATAGTGATATCCTTTCAAGAGTGTTGGCTTGATCAGGTGTGGTAATGAACATTTGGTTTTTTTAATAAAGAGGGTTTTTTTATCAGTATTCCCTTGAATTTCTAATCCAGAATTGCTGTTTAAATGGTGTACAGTACTCACTTAAAGCTGGGCTTCTCTACCGTTTGTGCTGTACTTTGTCTTTACCAGATTTGGGATGCAGTAAGCAGCACATCACCTCCTTACAATACTGGTTGGTCATACTTAAAGAAATCATGTTAATTGGAATTCTCTGCAAAGCTGGCTGAGCCACAGAGATATTCCTCATCCTTTATGAGATACCCTAGATGTAATGAGCTCCTGATACTTAGCTGGTATATGTTTCACCTATGTTTTCTCAGTCTTCAGTGGATTAAGATTGTGTATACTGCTTGCTCCAGGTCAAACTCAGTCTTTTTCAGTGTTCACAAGAGCATACACTAAATTGTATTTCATTAGTTAAAAGCAATTTCAGCTTGCAGCACAGGAATGAGTAACTGAAGATCAGTCTCACATATTGTGCTCTTTATACAAGAACACATATGCGTCTTCTCTCCTTTAAATTTGATTTTAAGCTCTTACTCACTGTTGTAATTCCATGATAGTTTGTACTGTGTATAATTTTGTTCCCAAAGTTTTTTGCTCAGATTCGGAACAAATAATGATAGGGAAAAGTTTGACCTTTCAGCCTTCAGAGATTCTAGCAGATAAAGCATGCTCTGCATACCTAATGTACCTTTGGGACTTCTGCCACAGTTTGGACAGTTTCCAATCACGCCTTGAAGTGAATCAGTGTTCTGACCATTGCATGGTCTGTACTGATTATTTTTTTTCCCCTCCAAACCTTTCTCTAGGTGACAATCTCGATGCTATCCATGACATAACTGTGGCATACCCCCAAAACATTCCTCAGACAGAGAAGCACCTTTTGAATGGAAACTTCCCAAAGGAGATTCACTTCCATGTCCAGAGATATCCCATAGAGACGGTCCCCACTTCTAAGGAGGAGCTGCAGCTTTGGTGCCGGAAACGTTGGGAAGAGAAAGAGGAGAGACTCCGACACTTCTATGAAGGTGGAAAATGCTTCAGTGCAACAGGGCAAGGTGTTATTCCACCGTGTAAATCTGAGCTCAGGGTCCTCGCGGTCAAGTGCATCTCGCTCCTGTATTGGACGGTGTTCCCGCTGGGTATGCTTGCACTGCTGTACCTCTACAGCTTTGCACAATGGTATTTTGCAGCCATGATCATCGTTTTTGTTGTGCAGCAAAAGATATTTGGTGGGCTGGAATTAATTGAACTCGCTTGCCATCGATATTTTAGAAAGCAACAGAAAATTCATGACATGAAAGTAAAAAACAATTAGTTCTGGGGTAGAGAAAGACATAAAAATGGGTGGTTTTGAGATGTCCTGCAAATTTTATGCACAGGGAAGAATTTTTGCATGAGAATTGTCTTTTCCTGTTGCCATTGTTAGACATTTGCACTTGATTCTGTGAAGAGAAAGAAAAATGTTAGTTACTACTACATGTGAAAATGGTAGTTTTTATCTCTGAATGTAATTTCAACACTGCTCTTGCAAGCAGCTAGCAACTGCATTCTGCTGTAATTAGCAAACGAATTGCTGGATTATTGAACAATCATAAGGACATTAATAAATGTGACATGCACTGAACTTTCATGTAGAAACCCAAGCTGTCCAGCTAAGAGAGACAGATGTATGATTTCTGTATGATCACGTTGTCGTAAAGTAAGCAGTGGGTTTGAAAATGATGTTTTGATGGTAGGTGGAAGGAGGAGAGGTTGTTTCTTTTTTCTATTTCAAATATTCAGGCTTCTTATTTTAAAACAATATTTTTGCATAAGCTTTTCCAAACACTACTGAACCTACCACTATTCAACCACACTGGCTTGGTCACTAGAAGGATTTTTATGCCTTGCAGTCTTGTTGTAGTACAGAAAACAGTGCTGGCTTTGCCTCCAATTAAGTCTCAACTGATTTCTTCACAGACCTGTGCAGCTAAGTTTTGATTTCTCATTGTTTCATACTGTTTTCTTCTCCCTGTTAGCTGTGGGAGACTTGTTCCTACTGTAGTGCACAGAGCTGTGGGATAGGAGGGCTGGTTTTTTGTTGGTTTATTAGGGTTTTTTTCTTGTAGAGGCAAAAATAAGCATCTGAGTAGCTGGCAAGTGTTTTTTCAAAAGTTCTCCATGTAGACATTGTTTGATTGAAAACATTTTATTTATTTTTCAGGCTAGGCAAGATGTCTTTTTTTTTGAAGCATTTATTTTGGTTTTTACATTGCTTCCTTTGGCATTTCAAGTGTCCATATAGATGAGTAGGAAGACTGCTTTTTCCATGTGTGTCAGCCAGACCGGTTGAAATGCATCTGATGCAATGGTTGTCTCCTTACAGGTACAAGGGATGGGTTTCAGATTTAGCACAGCACAGGGAAATCGAGCTACACCTTCTTTTGCAGTATTGTCTTTGATTGTCTGATGCCATCACTGCTTTTCCAACCTCCTTCACAGTTGCTGGGGGCTTCTTTTGGGGCTCCCACTATAACACTTTTCCCTATTTTCATGACATTCAGAAAATACACAGGCTTAAACTCAGACAAGGCACTGTCAAGCATGTTCCTTGTCGTATATAGTAATATTATGCTCACACAGTAAAAGATCTAAACATTGCCAGCACTTCAGAGGCACTTCAGGTTAGATTTGGTTTTCAAACTCAAAATTATTAGACCACTTCATCAACTGTATTGCTGCAAAACCTTCCTGACTTCCTCAATATTTGTTGTTTATTGCATGAAGGCTTGGTTGAGCTAAACCGAGATGGCCTGGCTCCATCTGTTGCACGACATCATTGCCATGAAATGTGAAAGTGCAGAGACTGATGAATATCTCAAGCATTGGGTCAGCATGGGAGACGCATCTGTTTTCTTCTAAATTACAACACTAAACATGTTGTCTAATGTGTTTGTGTCAAGGGCCATTTCTTGAACTGATCACCAGCCTCTATTCAACCGTCCCTTGCAAGGTGACAAGTATTTTTTAATCTATGCTTCTAATAACATTGTTTATTATGTGGGAAGTACTTGAAGCCATCTGGGTTACTCTGGATTTTTTAATCCCTTTTTTCAATAAATAAACCTAGGTTTATATTTAGGGTTATGTTTCTTAATGATTTTTTTCGTATTTATATTTGATGACTGACAACTGGTGTTTCATTGTCATGAGTGGAAAGAGGTCCTTTCTGCACTACAAGGACTTTTTAAAACAGAATTCTGTGATATCAAAGGCATGGTTGCAGCTTAAATCTTCATAGCCTGGTTTTTCTTCGCCTAGTACTCTGCTTTGGTGCAGTTCCTTACACACCCAGATAACTCGCTGCAAGAGAAAACCTAAAAACCTCATCTATGGTTAATGCAGAGGAGACCTAAAAGGCTTCTTCTAGTCCGTCCTGAGCCAAGCTCTGCTTTCATACCAGGAGTAACCATGGCCAGCCTACTCCAACAGCCTTAACATAGTCTACAGGAATGACTTCGGAGAACAGGTTATCTATGTTGGTGACATAAATACTAGCTACACTTTCCTTAGTCATTTAAAGAACTTTGTGGTACCATCAAATGTATCAGAAAAATCAGTGTGAGTCTTGGTCACGGAGCAGTGATAGATTAGATGCAATCCATTGTTGACTCTTACAAGGGGTTTTCTCCCAGCTGGAGCCAATCACATAGTGTGGTGTGTTTACACCATAACATCCTGCAAATTTGTAATCCATCCTCCTCTCTCATGTATTCGGATTGAAGAGGAATGATCTTCTTGTCCGCTGCTAATGTCACATCTGCAGTGCCTGACTCCATGATGTGGGGCAGCACATGGTAAGTGAAGAGTCCTCCTCTCACAGGCAAGGGTGTTGGCTTTGTGACTGACATAGATTTTCAGATTATGTGCATCGTTCTCCAGCTCAATCAGAAATGCAAGATGGGAAAAGAATGACTAAAAATGAAAAAGCTTTCTGGATATAGAAACTTCTCTGTTTAAAAAGTGGTTAAGGAACTGGGAGAAGATCTTTCCATGAATGCTTTTCTCCCTCTTTGATCAAAACGTTGCTCTTTACTCAGAAGGTTCTTAATAGACACATTTTTTCTATACTGTTTTGTTCTTACACTTTTTCCCTCTTTGACGTATACTAAGATGGCACTTAGGGACATGGTTTAGTGGTGGACTTGGCAGTGTTAGATTTACAGTTGAACTCAACAATCTTAAAGGTCTTTTCCAGCCTAAATGATTCTATGATTCTATGCCAGGTGAATCACATTGAAATGTTTTCAGTGCTGTTGGGTTAAAGGTGCTAGTACTCCAGGAATCACACACACCCCTGTTCCATGGGATGCAATTGGCACCAAGACTCGTCTCACTCATTAGCACGTTTATCACAGCTCACCTTCTCTCATAGTCCCAGCAGCAGCAGTGCTCAACAGCGACTGTCCTGTCTATGGGACCTGCATGTCTTGCTAGATCTTGCTTACATCATTTGAGATCAGTGACATGCTTTAAGGACACTGCTCTCATTTGCTCAATCAAGTGTTTCCTCATCAGCATCAGGGGTTTCTTTCTCTCTGCTCAGAAGGTTGAAATCCTGCCATCTGTGTGTGTCCTCAAGTTCATCTGGGTAGTGGGATGTCAGACCAAGACATTTCTCTCTTGGCTTCAAAGCTGAAAGGCCCAAAGCTGGTCTGAGAGGTGTTGTCTTGATCATACAAAATATGGTTCCTGATTTTATGCATTGCATTAGTCTGTGTTGTTTAAAAAGAGATCTGTGTTTTTATAACTTGATTTTATATGTACACTCAGTGAAAGGAAACACCAGAATACTACAAACCTACAGAAAGCCTTAGTTTTCAGAGTTCACCGATTATATTAGAATGGTTAAACTATGTACCAGCTACTCTACAGCAACAATAAAGACCTGAAGCATCACATGTGTTTAATTTTGCCATTTTCCTTGTACTGCTTGACATATTCTGTATGGACCCATAAAGAACAAACCTAGTCTTCAATCATATGGTGTCTGTCTTAGGGAGATGGGTGTCTGTTTGGGTGCTCAACCCATGGTTTGTGGCTGTTAGGGCAGTATGCCTCCCTTTTCTTCATGGGAGGTTGGAAAGGGGCAGCTGGCTGTAGTCTCCCTTCTAGCCTCTTCATGTAAAGGGATGCGGAAACCTCTGAGCGTGCAAGAGATACAGCTCAATTTTAACCTGCTTTGGTGCTTCACCACTATTGTTAATAAGTTAAATAAGTTTCTCTTTTCTGGCTTGAAAGAGAGTGTTAGGTAAGTCCTCCGTTTTAACTGTACCATGTTAAGACCCATGTAATTACTGACACAAGAAATGAGCTGTGGCAAGTTTCATGTTCTTAGAGGACCTGTCTTTAATGTAACTTCAGATCACAGGCTCCTTGATTTCTCTCTCCATTGTCCAAATGGTAATCTGATGCAGAAGGGCAAGGGCTGTGTTTCTCAAGAGCTCTTGTGCTCCCCATTACCTAACAGGGAATAGCCTTGCTGTGATTGCCACGGCCCTATAGAACACCCACATCTCTAGCAGGCAGCATGTGGCAGAAAGACCACAAGAAACGAAGACCCTGCTAGCAGTTTTCACAGCTGGAGATGGTAATCTGCAATGTCTACACATACTCTGAGCCTTCAGATCACTCCCCACAAGTCCAAATGAGCCATGCTTTGTACTGAGCAGCTTGTCTCTCTGAAAAGTTGGCTGTCACCTCCTCTTGGTCTCCTCAGAGCACAAATACGCAATGAGACAATCGATTTCTCTGTCTTACCTGCCATTACAGAGAATAATAGTAATGGAGGCCAAAGCTTTCACCCTCCAGCTGCCCCAAACACCTCCTTTGCAGTTCAATACAACAGGGAAAACGTTGTCTTACTTCCTGAGGACTTTGAATCCGACCACAAGCTGTCTCAACCAGAAATTATCCCTGGGAATTGGGAGCATGGACTGTGCTTATAACATGCTTGAGTGACTCATGCTAGAGAGGGTTTGTGCTGAGGCACATGAGAGGCAGAGCTCACCTCTGTCCTTGATGGATCTCTTAGAAGTCCCAGCATCTTTCGTGGGAATGGAGGCAGTCCCTGAATTTTTAAGCAGATGCCTTTGGTTTATTCCAGTCTGGCCTCTATGTGGTTCATCATCCCTTTTTCTGGAGTTATTTGTGTTGGGTCACTGTCTTCTTTGATGGTGGGATATGCAGGATGCTGACAGCAGTTGGAGCAATACACTGCCTGTTTCCTCCGACAGGCATTGCTGCTCTCAGAAGAAGAAGGGTGTTTGCTCCTTATGAGATCTTTCACGCTGGGCTGCATGAGAGAGGCAGGCACACAGGGGCTGGTGTGAGTGTAATGGTTGTGGTGGTCAGCACCCTTCTCCCTCAATTTCTCTCTCCAGCTTGCTTATCAGAGAGGGGAGGCAAGAGCCCCTTCACCCTCATCTGCAGGGAGCAGAGAAGCACCTTCAGCCTTCTCAAGGGTTTAGGCCTCAGCCTTGCTTCTGCATCCACAGGACAAAACCTAGCAGAGAAGGATGAGCTGCTGCAAGGTGCAAGAGCATGAGGAGATGCTACAGGCGGAGTGGGAGGCAGCGC